GATGATTGTGGAAAATATACTTAGTACAGAACTGTTGGTATTCACTAACAGGTTGATGGAAAAATATTCATATTTTCTCAGCTATATGTTAGTAATTTAACATTTCTAACAATTGGGGCATATTTAACATATATGTTACTTCAACCAGAGATTAATTGTCACTTTTGGGCTATTTTCCAAAATAGGAGTTCAATAAGCTTTTATTATTATGACAAAACCAATCAAAAGTATACGCAATATCTTAACATCCGTTAATCTAATGTGCGATATATTATTATTAGTTTCGATCAGGGTCTCCAAATTACGGTCAGCAAACAAATCACACCCTCCTCCAGGAATGGAGATCCCACAACAACTCCAAATAATGAAACGGTTGGACTACATTAAAGTAATTTATTATTTTGTTAGTCCGTTCGTTACGCTTCCAACATTAATTACGAGACATTTTCGCAAAACCATTGTTTCCTTGTAATTATCAAGTGTCTTTTAAACTCTAACATATATTAAAAAAATTACAGAAAAAATATAATTAAAACGTATTTATTCATTTGATTTTAATTCATTTACTTACAAAACTGATTTCCTGTGAAAATGTGATCTGTCCCTCTGAATAAAAGCTTTGCATTCTGTTCCCTTAGATAATCAAATCCGGCATCTATTCTAATTAATACTTCTATTTTTAATAATAATTTTTTTTCTTTATTTTCGTGGGAACGAATTCGTATGTGTGGTATCCGTTTCATAACATTTCAGTGGAAACTGTGAGAATGGGATTCCGAACCTTAGGGGAAAGATATCGTTTGAATAGATTGAATTCTGATTCAGTCAATAAAGATTTCCTCCAATAAATAAATATACTTTCGTTCTGTAATGAACGAATCTTTCGATGATATCAACAATCTTCATTCGGGAACGAGATTATAGTACAAAAAATAATCACTTTCCTTTTGAAACACGACTCCCGTTAGGAAACAGAAAAATCATCAGAGAAATTAATTACTGCAGTATATCAAGCGTGTCTCATAAAGTTCATTTAATTGAAACAGATTGTGATAAGTTGATTAACGTTTGAATCAGTACTAATAGACAAGAAGCTGCAGTGTGTTGGTTAATAGTCTCATTTTGTAATACTTTTACTCTACACTAAGTAACCTAATTGATCAACTTATATAATAGGAATTAAAGGGAAGGAAATTATTACTTATTTTTCGCCTTAAGTAACGTAAGATTCCAGTAGAACTTTCTTTACTCATATCATATAATGAAGGAGCCTTGATCAAAATCACCATTTATTCGTTCACTGATTTTTATACCCAGCAGCGTGGAACATATTTCGTGAAAAATCCAATTAAAATCAACCGAAGATGAAAGATTTCAGTGTGATTTCTATGTGTTGAACTAATTACACTAATTATTATGGCTTCAATACATACATATATATATATATATATATATATATATATATATATATATATATATATATATATATATAATGGATGGATAAAATTATGGGGCAGGTGTATAAAAGTAAAAATATAATTGAAACTCATTTTATCATTTAAAGAAAAATAACAAAAAATTTAAAGTAAATTTAATCTATAGTTAATATGTGATGTTGGCTACTTTTTATGTTATAAATTTAGCACAAGTAGTTCTATCGATTTACTGCCATTCTTCATGAAGTTTGGCTTCGTCTTTTGAAGAATATTTACACACACTAACTCTTGGACCTAAGCATGAGCACAGATGTTCAATGAGATCCAGGTCATTGATTCTTTCTTTTCAAAGAAACTCTTCAAAACTCTGCATGTGTGACATGTTGCGTTGTCATGTTGGAATATTACTTCATCTGGTATGTTTTTGTTGAAAATGTCCTCTAATGAAGGTTGATAACATTTGTCTTACATGCTTGTGTAAGTGTTGGAATTCATTCTACACTTACATGTGAATAAAATTTTTGTCCAAGAAGACGATATGCATCCCCCAAAAATTTCACCACCCCACCTCCAAGTTTTACAGTTCAGGAAATAAATTGAGGATCATATGGCTCCTCAACTCTTAGAGTAATATGATTAACACCAGGGATTCCAATAATTTGTTAAAAAAATAGGGACAATTATTTATTCAATAATAATGCAGTCTTAAAAGGTGTAATAAAATGAATTATGCGCAATAAATTAGTTTCAACTAATGAAGGATCTTGATGCATGGTGTGTTTACGTAAATTCAACTTTTTTTCAAATTATTTAATTTTTTTTTAATTTTCCGTCTTTAGAAATTAAGAATCTAAAATAAATAAATTACAAATAATTAATCATATTATAATATGCAGCAGTAATAAAATCTAAAATCTTACCACAATTTTAAATCAACACCATAAGACCGAGAAATTCATAACGATTTGATGGACACTAATTTTTCTCCTGAAGGTTGCATGCTTGCATGAAATTCGAATCGTTCTATAGACGAGGGGGTATGTATATTATGTATATTCATATAT